TGAGCAAGGAGCCGGATGCAGGACTCGATCCCAGGACCCTGGGATCATGACCTCAGCTGAAGGCAGATGCTTAACTGACTGAGACACCCAGGTGTCCTCTTACTATTTAATAAGGGTTATTATACATGTAGAAATGTGTAATAATAAGTAGAAAATCATTTTGAAATGTGAGTAAGTAGAAAATTAGTAGGAAATCATTTTGAAATGTGAATAAGCTGGATGCTTGGGTAGACTCATGCCAAAGTCTTTCCTTCCTTGTGCTCCAGCTTTGTATACATAGCCTCAATTCATTCTAGAACAAATTGCAAGTTATTATGTATTGTCATTCAGAAAAGAAGGTAGAACCATAACTAAATTTTAAGAAAGTAAAGGAAAACATTGGGTGACCTCCACAGTTTTATTTTATACTGCTTTCTACTTCCTCTGCTGCTTTCTCTTCTTTCCTGATGTAATTTGCTAGTGTACTTAAAATTTAAATCAGGCGGTGTTTAAATTTTTACTTTGCAGTTAGATGGCATCACAGTAGGCTGACTACCTACAAATTCAAAGAATGAGAATATCCTACTCAAATAATTTGGACTTGGTGTTGCCCCTCTGCCTCACTTTGTGATGCCTTGCTTTCCACTAAGTAGAGCTGAGAGTTAAGGAATAGAACTGGGTAGTTTCTCTACTGATTAATGCTACTTAGGAAAAAAAATCTTATGAAAGAGTCTATGTAAATACATCTCTAGTTCTTTTTTTTTTTAGTCAGTACCAATCACGTGGCACCTGTTGAAGTATGTTAACACTTAGATGACCATTTTCAACTGAAAATTGGTTTGTCACTAAAACATTTCCCCAAATATTATAGAGATTACATTGCTTTTAAATCATAATCATTGATTTGTTGATTTATTCTAAGGTCTGTAGCATAGAGCTCCAAGTTGTGGTATGCTTAAAACCTGAAAGGAAGTTTGTATTGTTATGAAACTCCCACTGTAGTGTGTTCATTTGTGATTATCTTTGGTATGACTTCTAAATCTTGAATTGTTATTTATATGTAACTCTCTACTTTTTCTGAATTGGAGAAAACTGGGAATACTTATGAGTTGGAATTTAATGCAGCTTTATATGGTAGTAATTATAACTTGCATGGGTAATATCTGTAGTATAGTATGAAAATAACATGACAGAAATAATAAAAAAGGAAAAGTATGTATTACAGATATGTGGGTAATGCTTGTCTTTTAGTAGTAGTTAAGGTTTGAGATCCTCCTATGTTAGCAGCTTTATTTGATGCTTTACAGAAAGACTCTCCCAACTCTTGAAGAAATTATTTGAAACCCAAGAATCTGGTGACCTCAATGAAGAATTAGTTAAGGCTGCTGCCAATGGAGATGTTGCTAAAGTGGAAGATTTGCTAAAAAGACCAGATGTGGATGTGAGCATTTTAAAAATTATTTGAAGCATATATAAAAATAGAATAGTATAATGAACATAATTCAATAATTACTGAGATTTTTCCACATGTCTTCATCTATTCCTTCTTTGTTTTTGTGAGATATTTTAAAGAAGACACTGGACATCACTCTTCAGTGTACTTTTTTTTAAAAAAATATTTTATTTATTTATTTTGATAGAGCACACAAGCAGTGGGAGCGGCAGGCAGAGGGAGAAGCAGACTCCCCCCTGAGCAGGGAGCCTGATGCGGGGCTCAATCCCAGGACCCTGGGATCATGACCTGAGCTGAAGGCAGACGCTTAACCGACTGAGCCACCCAGGCGCCCCTTCAGTTTACTTTTCTAAAAGACATTGATATATTCTTATTTTAACACTGTGGCCTATTATACTTAATTTTTTCTTCATTTAATTACTAATGTATTTTTTAACAATATACATTCTAAAAATTAAAGGGAAAAATAGTTCTACAGGGTTTGTTATGAAAAAATTTCCTTCTCAATTCTGTTTACGCATTCTTCAGAGACAACTGTTTTCACCTCTTTCAGTTGATTTTCTTCATATGTTTACCTCCACATCTTCCAATAACATACTTCTATTTTTTTTTTTTTGATTTTTATGTTTTAGGAGTTATCTTTTGATACTTCACTGTGAAGATGAGGATTCAGCTTTCTTTCCCACCTCCAACTCATTCCCTCCACACACATACACACTCCTCTCAGCTTCTTAATGTGGTTAGGTTGTATGGTAACTTTGTTAAGATTAAAATTAATTGTGCATGTTATTATTTAAATGACATTCATATCTGAGCTGTGGGTGATGCTAGATTGTATTTTCCTATATAACCATTTGCTTTCCTTGGTGTTCATAATTGTTCTTGTATCAAAAAAAAAATTGAGGTGTAATTTACATATAATGAAATACATGGATCAGTTTTGACAAATGCATACATATAATTCACACCCCATTAGATGTAGAACATTTCCTTTATCCCAGGAAGTTCACTTGCAGTTTTTCTCAATCAGTCCCTCTTAACTTCAGACATAACTTAAAGTTTTTTTCATTTGTTTGTAATCTGTGTTGTTATAATTAATTCTTCTGCAAACTTCTAATTGTCTAATCTCCCAAGACATGCAGGCATGTCAGGTATGTGTTCATTTCATCTTCTGAGAGATGATAACTGGAGAAAACATAGGTGACTTTGAGTATGGTGATGACTTTTTAGATATAACATCAAAGACATCATCTATGATCTTGTAGGACTTACAGTTTTGTGTTTTACATTTAAGTCTATGATTCATTTTGAGTTAATTTTTATGAAGGGTATACGGTTTGTGTCTAGATTGATTTTTTTCCTTGGGTTACTCCTGGCATCGGCCATTAGGTCTTTTCTCTTGGGCTGGTCTGACTCCCCAGAGAGGTCTCTTAATTCTCCTGCATAGAGGGTATAAACCTGGCGGCCAAGATCATGAATAGTGAGTAAGGGAGGAGGGCTTGGATTCTCAGCATCATCATGCAGATATTTACATAATAAAACTTCTGATTTTAGTACTTTGCCCCACTGATAACAGTGCTTGGTTTCTGTAGGCTAGGGATACTTTACTCTTTGTAGAGAATAAACTTTAAGGTTTCTGCTAGCCTCGGGGTAGACCACTAGTTCAGCTGAGCAGAGTGAGGGAATCCAGGGATCTAAATGCTTTTTTA